AGAAATTGAACTTAAAGTTTATGTAAATCAGGATGATTTTGTAATTCTCAAATATTCAAAGGATGTAATTGTTTAATGAATATCTGTAAATTGTAAACAGAAATAATTGTGCTAAATGCTAATTTACATGAATGTAAAATTTACATGAATTCTTATCAAGAATGATTGCGTCCTACCTATTATAGATGTACTTCACTTCCTTTCTTTCTGCTCGTGTTTGTAAATCCTTCACAGATCGCGCATTCATGCATTTCTAGCTACTTAACGTTTGTTTAATTGTTTGAAAAAATCAATTCAAATTGCATGATTGAACAATGCATTAACATCCAAAGGTTAACATAACAGGTTTACTACTCGTTTATCCCCCGAGGCTATCAATATTCAACTATCAATAGTCTAAATACTATAATATGCCTTTTGTCTATTTTTAAGTTCCAGATTACTGGGTGATCACAGTCGATTAGAAAAACAAATTCCACAAATTCAATCTGTCCACCAGCAGTAAAGAATACCGGGATATTGAAGCTGAATTCTGTAAAACTGCTACAAATCAAATTGTCAGCATCGAAAGAATACAAAATAGAGAAATTTATAGGTTGTATAATGTGAAACGCCAAGCAATGGTGAACAAATATGGGAGCAACCTTTCTGGGAAAGAATTGATGCTGTTCCACGGCACCTCACCTGAGAATATTGAAAAAATTCATGCTAAAGGATTAAACAGAAGTTATGCAGGAGGACATGGTAAGTTGTTGTATTCCGACATACATTTATTATGTTATGTTTTTGTTAACGTAATATTATTCTTTGTGCTCTGTCCCTTCTCGCGTAGTGTCCTACAATCAGTATATCTCAGCATGCAGGTACATCAAAAGCAGCTGAGTCAAAATGTAGACTTGTGAATTGTGATTCGTCGTGACTATTAGACTATAGGCTGGTCACACTATCAATATTTTTGAACAAGTTGCAAGATGAGTATTTGAGAGAAGTGACTTACTGTTTTCTCAAACATGCATTTCTTACAAATTCTTCCGCAAAACATAGAATTTACCCATGCAAAATTCCCACTGTGATCACAGAACCTTTGATAATGACCAGCCATATGAAAACGTCAATGTTATTGGATAATCTTCAAGAGTTTCATGAGTCTTTCATGATATTTGGTAACATAAATGAACTCAAAGTTTATGCAAATCAGCATGATTTTGTGTCAGATATACAAACTCCTCCACGGTCATCGGGTCATGATTTCTTCATAAATTATTAATGCTTTTACAACCAACATTTCCGTCGCTAATTAATATTTCCCCCCCCCCCCAAATTGTTGGCGAGCAGGGGGAGGGGTGTTTTTCACAGAACATACTATTCGTTATTTTTCTTCTAATGAGCTTCATTTTCTCTTTATTCAGGCACGGCTTTTGGTAGAGGTGTTTATTTCGCCCGAGACGCCAACTATTCCGGTCGACAAAGGTACTCACCCCCAGACTCACGGGGTCTTCGCTACATGTATTACGCCAAAGTGTTGGTCGGTGAATACACGCAAGGAAACCCTAATATGATAGTAGCTCCCAGTAAAAATTCAGGAAATCCGAATGAAACATATGACTCGGTGGTCAACGACGTTGCTAAACCAAGTATTTATGTTCTGTTTCAGGACTATGAATATTACACTGAGTACCTTATCACTTTTAAATAACTTTTAAATGACTTTAAGTTCACTAACATGAAAGTATAATCTGTTAGAACGATAATTACAGAATTAAATTTTTTAGAAGTGTCAACAACATATTAGAAATTACAAGTTAAAAACTAGTATGTCTATATTACTCGAAAACAAAAGTTATAACTTGGCCATTCGTGAGTTTAATAGCTTCAAAATTGCAATACTGTTCTGACATTCAAAATTTCAGAGCTGAGCATTTTATATTCCTAGCTTAGTTGGACCGCAATGCATTGCGATTTTCAATATGGCGCATTTATTGTTGAAACCGTCCATTAACAACCTGCATACTGCCTGCACCATTACGCACACCCTAAAATCTACAGGTTTGTGACGGGTGTTCCAGCGGTGTTACCACTAAAAAGATGCGCAGTCGTGAATTTGGCGGAAAATGGCCGAACGCGTGTTTGATAAAAAGATATTTTTTGAAAATATGGCTTAAAAAGTGTGTATTTTTTTATAAAATATAGTGGAAATTCATATTTTTGAGCAGCACAGTAGGTAGACATGTCTTACAGGGTGTATTTTGGTCGATTGCCGGAGAATTTAAGTCAAGATGACTTTGAGAAAATGCTCTCAGAACATGGCAAAGCGAGGAATATTGAATGGAAGTCGGGGTATGCTTATGTGGATTATAAACACGGCTCTGATGCCTCGAAAACTGTTCAGAATCTCAACGGCAAGGAGGTGGGTGGGAATAATATTCTTGTTGAGCTCGCTCGGAATGGGGGTAGCGCCCGTGGCGGTTATGCGGTTGCCGGGGCGTTTGCAGCACGGCCCTTTGCAAAACCCCCTCAGCCCAGGCCGATTCGGACTCCTCATCGTGTCCGCATCGAGAACTTATCGAGCCGTACAAGGTGGATGGAGCTGAAGGAGTTATTATCATTAGCAGGGGAGGTTACGTTTGCCGATACCCACAAACGCAAGACCGGCGAAGGCATCGTTGAATTCGCAACAAGACAAGACATGGAAGAAGCGATCAAAACGTTTCACAACACAAACTTCTACGGTAAAACTATTAAAATTTACGACGAATCTCCTAGGGGTAGATCAAGGTCGCCTAGTGGGAAAAAAAGTCGCTCACGTTCACGCCATCGTTCGTCAGAAAGGAAAAGACGAAGCCGTTCAAAATCACCGTCTCCTCGAAAAAAGTCGTCTTCCTCTAGACATCGGTCACGATCCCCTCGCCGAAGCTCTAAAAGGCGCTCAAGGTCGAAGGATAGACGTCGGTCTTCGAGGAAAAGGGATTCTAGGTCAAGAACTCCAAAAAGAAATTCTCATAAAAAGTCGAAAAAATCCAAACGGGACCCATCCCGCTCGCGGTCAAAATCACCAAGACGTAAAAAACATAAACATAGTCGATCACGCTCACATTCTAGTTCGGGTAATAACAATGACTTGAGAAGAAAACCTAAGAAAAAGAAAAGAGGTTCTTCCAGCTCGTCGGGAAGCGACACCTCTGATAGTAACAAATCAAAATGATATTTTTACATTTTTAAACTCGATACCAAGAGAAACTGTAATATGAAAACGAGTAGTTGGCGACATAGTTGCGTCTACTAGCTGTGATTTTATGTAGTTTGGTCCGTCATGTTTCAAATTTATTCTTCATTTCTACCTATACACTATGATCCCTCATTCAAGACTTTATTCACTTACTAGCCTTGTTTTCATGGTTTGATACAAAAGTATTCATTCATAAATATTCATATATTGTAAATGTGTCTATTTTGAAAGAAACATTGCTTGTATAGCTTTCTCGTGTTGCTAGTTTTCCTGCATTTATTTTTCCAAAATAATCGTGTACCTTCGATTCCCGGATTTTTTTAATCGATTTGCGTTCCAGTGGCCACTACTGAGCCGTTATTTACATATTCAGATTTAAAACGCCAATCTTGGCCAAATAGTGAATATAATCTTTAA